CTCTACCACTTGAGCCACAGCACCACTTCCGGCTTTTTTCTTTTTGCTTATGGGGCCTGAGCGGGCCTGGCGGAGCCCGAGCGCGGCCCGGCCCGCAGCGCGGGGCTCCGAGTGCGGTGAGTGCCGGCGAGGGCCCCTGGGGACGGCGGGGAGCGGGGCGGGAGGCAGTCTCGCTGCGCCCCGCACGCCGGGTGCCCGGAGCGGCGTCGTTCCTCATCTCGGGGCCCCTTAGCGCGGTCTCACCCCCCCACCACCACGGGGGGCCCCCTTCTGCGCCAGCGTGGCCCCAGATAGGCCCCAGGGTGACGGAAACTCTCCCCGGAACTCATACCTGTGTCTGGGGGACCCGAAGAAGTCCCATTAGTCTCCCAAGACCTGGAGACCCACAGCCTGAGGATCCCTCATTCCCAGCCAGGCTCCTTGGTGACCCAGATAGCGCGCTGCCGACCCTGCGGGGGACCCGGGTCTGGGGGACGTTGATAAGCTGCACCTGCTCCCTCCCTGGGACACGCCTACCCCGGCCCACTTACCCCTTTGCTGCTCCAAGAAGTCTGCTCTTTATTATACCCTCCCTTCCGTTTTCTAGACTTTTGTAACCCCTTTAAGGCTTCCCCCAAATACCTAGGGTCTGAAGAATCCCAAAATAAGTTCCTACTTGTACGTAGCCCTCGTTCCAGGGATCGTACTCAAAAACTCTAGACCATACCTATCAGGAAACGGGTTTTGAGACCCTCCCGAAATTATTTATAACACTTTTCAGCTTTTAGAATCCCCCCTGCCTCATTCTTGGAGACCCCCCCCTTAGAAACCCCAATGACTTGCCCTTCTTTTCCTCCCCTGAGATGCGATCCCCCCCCTTTCCCTGAATTCCTTTCCTCTCAGCACCAGTCCATTCCAATCTCCTAATCTTGGGGGGGAGAAGGGGGGAAAGATTCACAATTTCTACCACACCATGGGATGGTTCACAAGGTAGCCCCGAGAGCCTGGTTCCTGCAAATCCAGCTCCATGGTGTAGCCCAGCTTGGAGGGGAAATAACAGTATGGGGGAGTTGGTGCTTCACCTGCAAGTGTAATCTGTCTCCTGGCTTGTGTGTTTTTCCACCTGTCAGCCTGGGGCTGTGGTAGTCTGGCCTTGAGTTTCTAAACCCTCCCCCTTCCTCCCAAGGAGAGGCCACTAGATTGGGGGGTGGGTGTCTAAAGGTGGTTTCCTCCCTGTAAAAATGAGGCCATCCTGTGGTGCGGCCATTTGTTCAAGGCCTCCCCAGGAGTGGGAGGCAGTGGAATCTGAGGAAATAGGGAATCAAAGGGACTCCAAAGAGGCCCATCTACACGGACACAAGAACTAGCAGCCTGAGAGTAAATCCAACCCCTGTTAATCCTGTTTGATGTTTCTTGGAATGATGCAAGTCATTGAGGCTCGCCAGCCTCCCTGTAATTTAATTCTCCCACCACTCTGGGGTGTGTGTATGTGTCTCTGTCCCCATCCATCCGTGTGAGTTTTGTGTGAGTTCTGTGTGAGACTGAGGGAGCAGCTACTCCCATTCCCTTTTCCTTCCCGCTGTTTTCTAGCCCACCACCTTGCCTTTTGGATTTGTTTCTGGTGCCCAGGTTAGGACTGCGATTTGTTGTTGTTGTTGTTGCCTCCCCCCCCCCTTTCTAAATCTATTTATAATTTCCCGGTTGCTATTTTGAGTTCTCTTAAGAGAAGACTGTTCATTCCAAGAAATAGTTCCTGGGTGTATTTCCATGTAGGCAGGTGTTGAATTAAGTTCTTCAGCTCCCCAAGTAGCTCTTAGGCAGGAGGGATAAAAAGCTATTTTAGGATAGTCACTGAAATGGAGCTGTTAATCCTCTGTGGGTCTCTTTGGTTAAGAACACTTGGAGATTAACCCTTTCCTTGGTGCAGAGTTGGGGGATCTCTCTCTCTCTCTCAGCCGTTTTAGAGAGTGGGGAGTTGGGAGAATTGGAGTATGGCAGCAGAAATGGGAACATGCAAGTCCATGCAAAGATAATAGCTCGCTTTTTGGGGGCTCTTGTAGCAGGCCAAACCAAAGGCTTAGCCCTTTCCATACCTGACTAAAATAATCCTTACAACAAGCCTGGGAGGTGAGTATTTTTAGCTTTACTTTACAGATGAGGAAACAGGCTAATAATGGAGAAAGAACGTAGTTTCTATAGAGATGATGTAACACCATAAAACTATAGTTTCATCAGAAGGCAGCAAGTATCACGGCGCATAACAGGCAGACAGGAGCTTCCAAAGACCGTACTGAGTTTTTGCCAATAGCTGCTACTTGGGACATGAGTCTTGAAAAGAGTCTAGAAAGAGGGTAGAATAAAAGCATAATAAAGTGGCTGTCCAAGTGAGAGAAAAAACTGGCCTTGGAGATGTGCTGCAGGAGGTGAAGTAAGGGGGTTAGCTGTGAGGGAAAGAGGAAGGCCACATTCTGGGGAGATGTTGGGGAGGAAACTCACTCTGAGGCATGAGAAGTATGCTAAGGAGGGCAGTGTGGGAAGAAGTATTATTCAGGCGCTATGCAGAAAAAAAGGCATACTTGGACCTCGGAGGGCACTGTGTGTATTTGGCACGTTTCATGTCACTTCCAAGATGATTATTTCATGTAATCCTCTGAGAAAATCTGATAGGCAAGGAGAATAAATGTCTATTTTGGAAATTGGAGAGAGTGAGTTTCCATGGAATAAAGTAACCTTGCCTGTGGTGTCAAAGGCAGTAGGTAGCCGCTCTAATGATAGCAAGTCCAAGGTGCTTTCCATGCTACCTCCCCCTTCAGATCAGACTTCAGAAGGAATCAGGCTGAAAACCTCCTGAGTTTTACCAGTAGCAGGGAGGGATTGTGTTTGTTTTATGGGAACAGGTCTGTCAGCTTCTCTATAGTTACGGTTAGTGTAGCATGTGAGACCAGAAGAACAGCTTTGAAAGAGAAGCAGAATTCTTTCATAGTTTTACCTAGGAAGGAGAAGTCTTAAGGAACTGGCCTGATTATATGAGACAAACCCGGGAGTCTGGATGAAAGGAATTTACAGACAAAGGACACAGAGAGAGACTAGATCCCTAAAAGCGTTCCTAGGTAACATTAGCAGCTTTGGTTATCCAACAGCCTGTTGGTGACTATAGGTAAGGACTTTGCTATGCTTTTTAAAAGGCCCTGCTGAGTAGAATCTGGGTGGTGGCTATTTTCTTTTTTATAAAGTCATAGCTCTATGAAGTGCACATGGAGTGAGCACATGGTTCCCGTCTTCTTCCTTTGGTTCTATCAGTACAACCTCACAAGCTCTTCCTAGTCACCACCACCTTCTTCCTAGAAGCCCATTACTCACTGTTTCAGTAGCAGCATGCTAAACTGCTGTGTCTTCTTGTTTGTACATGTTCAAGAGAACAGATGAGTTGGACGTGTAGGAGGTGGGGGAATCTACCATTCTTTTTTTGAGTTTGTGCAGAATTTCTAGGTTAGGGGCTGGGAAGGTGGCTCAGTGGTAGAGCGCTTGCCTTGCATGCCTGAGGCCCTGGGTTCGATTCCTCAGCACCACATAAGCAAAAAGAAAAAAGGCCAGAAGTGATGCTGTGGCTCAAGTGGTAGAGCACTAGCCTTGAGCTGAAGAGCTGAGGGACAGCGCCCAGGCCCAGAGTTCAGGCCCCATGACCGGACCCCCCCCCCCAAAAAAAAAAAACGAATTTCTAGGTTAGGTTCCCATCTCACAGAGCTTTGTCGCTTGCTTCCCTCTGGCAGCCATTCCCAACACTCTAGAGCCTAAGGTGCAAGATTCAGATACAAAGTGGGAGCAGAATCTAACTTTGAAGTCCAGGGAAATTCCCTCCAAACTAGACCTGCACACTTGAGCTTACTCTCTACCAAGTTCCAGTGTGCATAGTAATCGCTGGTATTATAAACAGGTAATTCCACCCTTGGCAAGGAGGAGAGGACTTAAACAATGAAACCCAGACGTCAGAGGCCTTTGAAAGGTTTCTAGTGAAGCAGGCAAATAGGCCATGATGATTCGAAGTCACCAATGGGTGGTTTTTAGTGCTGCCATGCATGTGATTCATGGAAAATGCATCTACCTTTCTACTGATCCTTCTAGGCAAATCTCCAATGATGGGGAAATGTTTATCATATTACATTGCAATGTTTCTTCAAGAGGAATGGTTCCTGAACAGGATGTAGCTCATGTTAATGATGAGCAAAGCTCTCTGGGGCATGAACCCGCTGATACTATCATCTCGTTCATGGCCAGTCTGTTGGATGAATGGTCACTGTAAGCAGCAGGTGCTAATGAGCTGAGCAAGCATTCTGTGGCCCACAGCTAGTTTGTGCAGTTGGAGCCCTCCCCAGATTCTTGTGGACAGTTCCCAGATACCCACTTTGCCCTCTTCACGTGGAAAAGCCTCATGACCAAATTTTGATATAATCTCTCCAAAAGGGAATCTCCCTATTGTAGCAAGTTGAAATGTAGTTGGTCATGTGTGATGATCTAGTAAGTATAAATGTGGGTCTGTTGTCTCCCTTTTGAGGGACTGTATAGTAACTTCTATCCTTTTCCTGAGTTGATCTCAGAAAAGGAATTGTGTCACTTTTGTGCCAGGCCTTTACTACTTTTACCAAGGGGAGAATCAGACTTCAAGATTTTAGCCCTCCACTTTGGAAGGACTGAATTGAGTTTAAACTAGAACCCTTGGGCATAAATTTAGTCCCAGAGAATCAACTTGCATTCCATGACTAATATACTCATCTAAAAGCAAGTTGAAATTCTTTTTCTAGACATTGGGTATATGGAGATGAAAGAGGCATGACTCTCTCAGAGAGTCAGGTGGTGAAAACAAAATTCTAATGCTAGCATATTCTCAGTCCTGTAATCCTAGCTACTTAGGAGGTGGAGATCAGGAGAACCCAGACATGGAAGTTCATAAGACTCCATTTTAACTAGTGGCTGGGTGTGTTAGTGGGCACGTATCATTCCAAGGTTTGGGAGGAGTACAGTGGGTAAGCACATTGATGCACATTTGTCATTCTAGCTATAAAAAGAGGCATAAACAAGAGGATCACAGTCCAGGCCTGTTCAGGCATAAAGTGAGACCCTTTATTGAAAATATCCAATGCACAAAGGAGCTAAAGCACCAGGTGCTGGTGGTTCACGCCTGTAATCCTAGCTACTCAGGAGGCTGAAATCTGAGGATTGTGGTTCAAAGCCAGCCTGGACAGGAAAGTCCATGAGACTCTTTTTTTGGGGGGGAGGGGGGTCCGTTCATGGGCCTGAACTCTGGGTCTGGGCGCTGTCCCTCAGCTCTTCAGCTCAAGGCTAGCGCTCTACCACTTGAGCCACAGCGCCACTTCCGGCTTTTTTCTTTTTGCTTATGTGGTGCTGAGGAATTGAACCCAGGGCCTCTGGCATGCAAGGCAAGTGCTCTACCACTGAGCCACCTTCCCAGCCTCTTTTAACTGTATTTTTTTTTGTCTTTTCTTTTTTGGTACTGGGGATTGAACCCAGGACGTTGCACTTGCTAGGCAAGCGCTTTGCCACAGAGCAGCTACATCCCAGCCCTCCATGAGAGTCTTCAGTAAGCCACCAGAAAACTGGAAGTGGCGCTGTGGCTCAGGTGGTAGAGGGCTAGCCTTGAGCTAAAGAGCTGAGGGACAGCGCCCAGGCCCAGAGTTCAAGCCCCATGGCCAAAAAAAAAAACAAAAACAAAATAAACAAAAAACTGAAGCCATGGCTCAAGTAGTGGAAGACCTGCTTAGCGAGCATGAGGCCTTGAATTCCAATACCTACACACAAAAAAGAGAAGTGGCTGGATACCAGTGGCTCACACCTGTAATCCTAGCTACTGAGGAGGCTGAGATCTGAGGATCACGGTTCAAAGCCAGTCCGGGAAAAAAAGTCTGTGAGACTCTTATCTCCAATAAACCACTAGAAAAAAACTGGAAGTGGTACTGTGGCTCAAGCGGTAGAGCGCCTGCCTTGCCTGAAGAGCGCAGGGACAGCACCCAAGCCCAGAGTTCAAGCCTCACGACTGACCAAAAAAAAAAAGAGAGAAAGAGAGAGAAGTGCATATATGTCCTGAATCTAGAAGAGGAGCCACTTGGCACTTAGATTGTTGGCTAGTTGTTGATGAAGAGACCTAGCTGGGCCTGGAGACCACAAGATCACGAAAGGAAGTAGAGGTCAGAATGGGACCAGTACTGGTTTAGGGAAAATGCTGAGTCTGCAATGGCCCCTTCAAATGGAATCTCCTGGTATTGCTGCACTGCTGAGAAGTCCTTCTGGCCTAGGCCCTGCCTCTCAAGAGTATAGATTTTCTAAGAAAAGGATTCTTCTTTCCCTAACCTTTTGGACATTTAATTGCCCCTTAGCACCTCCATGAGAGAACTGGAGAAAGTAGTAGATGAGGGGCAGGTAGGTAAACAGGAAGAGAAGGAACTGCTGTCTCTAGTGGAAAGGATGTAAAAGTGAAGTAAGAAGAGAAAGTATAGCATTTCAGAGCTCAGATTATCTTTGTATTAGCTAGACTGTACTAGTAATAATAGTTAACCACTAAGTACTTCTGGGTACCCAACCTTGTACTGAATGCTTTATATCCATAATCCCATTTAATCCTCAAAACACCCTTATGATTTCAAAGATTGTTATGTCTGCATTATAAATGGGAAAACAGCTCAAGGGAGTAATTGTCTGAAAAATCACACAACTTCCAAATGGGAGGGCTGGTGTTGGAGTGGGGTCTGTCTGCCTCCAAAGCCCACGCTCTCATGGCATTGGGCTCCCTAACACCAGGTGTTTGATGTTTCAGGTGAAGAGATTGTTTTCTGAAGGCTACGTTGGAGGCTGTGACAGAGCGGAGAGCCTGGCGAAGCTGATGGGGAGGCTTTCTGAGTAACATGGCCCTTTGCCGTTAGCCTTGCCATGACCACATTTTTTACCAGCGTCTCTCCCTGGATTCAAGATGCAAAGCAGGAGGAGGAAGTGGGCTGGAAACTAGTTCCTAGGCCTCGGGCCCGGGAGACAGAGAGTCAAGTGAAGTGCCAATGTGAAATCTCGGGGACACCCTTCTCAAATGGGGAGAAGCTAAGGCCTCATAGCCTACCCCATCCGGAACAGAGACCATATAGCTGCCCTCAGCTGCACTGTGGCAAGGCTTTTGCCTCCAAGTACAAGCTATATAGGTAGGTGACGCTCCCGTACCTCTTCTTGCTCTGAGCTTCTCCAGGTCAAAGCCAGAGAGACTCCACTGAGCATGGAGGTTTCAGTGAAAGTTTGTCCCACACACGTTCTCTATACTCTTAACCACTTGAAGTCAGTCAATAATAGGGTTTTGATTGTTGTTGGGTTTTTTTGTTTTTTGGTTTTTTTTTGCCAGTCCTTGGGCTTGAACTCAGGACCTAGGTGTAGTCCCTGAGCTTTTATGCTCAAGGTTAATACTCCACCATTTGAACTATAGCTCTACTTCTGGCTTATTTTGGTGGTTAATTGGAGATATGAGTCTCATGGACTTTCCCACCCAGACTGGTTTTGAACTACAGTCCTCAGATCTTAGCCTCCTGAGTAGCTCGGATTTATAGGCACGAGCCACCAGCACCTGGCTAATAGTAGTATTTTGTCGTGGGGCTTGAACTCTGGGCCTGAGCACTGTCCCTCAGCTCTTCAGCTCAAGGTGAGCACTCTGCCACTTGAGCTACAGCACCACTTCCAATGATTAGAATCTTAACCAAAGTTAAAACTCTGTTTTAGAACTTCAGAAGAAAAAAGAAGCTCTTGTGGTCCAATCTGTATACTTTAAAGTGGAGGCTCAGAACAGGGATGTAATTGAACAACTTTGTCTTCTTAGGTCCTGCAATACTATTACTACTGAATTTACATGCTACTAAGATGACCACATCTGTCTCTGTAGAGTCCCTGGTGCCCTCTATGGCAGGGACTTGTGAGGAAACATGTAAGCCCAAGAATCCCTATTCAGGGGCTGGGAAAGTGGCTCAGTGGTAGAGTGCTTGCCTTGCATGCATGAGGCCCTGGGTTCGATTCCCCAGCACCACATAAACAAAAAGGAAAAAGCTGGGAGTGGTGCTGTGGCTCAAGTGGTAGAGCACTAGCCTTGAGCTGAAGAGCTGAGGGACAGCGCCCAGGCCCAGAGTTCAGGCCCCACGACCAGACCGAAAAAAAAAAAAAGAATCCCTATTCAAAGTGAAATAGAATGTGAAAGCCTTTGTTATGGCAGATGTTGCAAGGTTTAGTAGGGGAAAGAACCTGAGAGAGCTATTTTCATTTTACTCCTGTCTTTCCATTAGAGGAACCATGCACTTGCCCTTTACAAATGACATAGACCAGCCTGGTATACAGTCATCTAACCATTCCTCTATCCAACTATTTATTTGGCCTTTGTTATGTACCAGGCACAGTGCTTATTGCTAGGGTTGGAATATTGAGCCAGAAGGATGGAGGTGCTATTTCTCCTAGAATTTACCTTTTTAACAATGGGGCAGGTAGTAAAAAAGTAAGTATATAAACAGGATGACCACAGAAAGCCTTAGTTCCTCATTGGAAAACATTTGATAGAAAAGAACTAAAATAGGCCACTAGAGTTGGTCAAGATTGCCCCCAGGGCCTAGTACTGTTTGATTCTCTGTATGCCTTCTGTCTTTTTTTTTTTTTTTTTTTTTGGGTCCGGTCTAGGGGCCTGAACTCTGGGCCTGGGCGCTGTCCCTCAGCTCTTCAGCTCAAGGCTAGCGCTCTACCACTTGAGCCACAGTGCCACTTCCAGCTTTTTTCTTTTTGCTTATGTGGTGCTGAGGAATCAAACCCAGGGCCTCGAGCATGCAAGGCAAGCGCTCTACCACTGAGCCACCTTCCCAGCCCCTGCCTTCTGTCTTAGGGGTACTCTTAGCACTATCATTCCAGACCTTTTTTTTGGCAGTACTGTGGTTTGAATTCAGTGCTTTGAGCTTACTAGACAGGCACTGTGCCACTTCAGCTGCTGCACTTCCAGCCCATTGTGTTTTGGGGTTATTTTTGTGCTAGGGTCTTGCTTTTAGCCTGGATTGTAATCCTCTTCCTAGCTTAGCTGGAATGGCAGGTGTGAACCACCATTCCAAGCTTTTGCTGTTGAAATGAGGTCTTAACAAACTTTTTTTTGCCCAGGTTGGCCTGGAATCCATAATCCTCTCAATTTCCACTAATGAGTAGCTAGGCTCACATGCTTGAAGCACCAACATCCAGTCTTTGTCGACTTCCAGTGAGAAGTTGAAGCAAAGGTTCTGGCCCAGGAGGCAGGAACCCTGACATAAATCACTTGTGATTATTTTATGAGTCACAAATGCTCTATGGGCTTTAGTTTTCTCACCTGAAAAGTTAGACTGATTTCTCAGCACTTTTCTGCCATATGTCTTCCTGTCATTCATGTTAGATTGATGGCTTACATAGACATGAGCACACATATGTAGCATGAGGATAACCCTCCAGAAAAGGTCACTAGAGAAAGCTGTGACATTTCTGAATGAATCCACTCTGTGCCACTTAACTGACTGGTGGGTGGGGCTACCTGATGGCTTTAGCTACCTCACTGGAGAACAGGATTAATGATGTGGCTCACCCAGATCCTCACAATCTTGTTGCGTTGATTCTGTTTATGAAGCTATGATTTTCCGTTCCTGGACCAAGATAGGAACAGATAAACTAAGGGATCATGAGGTACTGTGACACTAAAACCTACCTTCCTTCCTTCCTTCCTTTCCTTCCTTTCCTTCCTTTCCTTCCTTTCCTTCCTTTCCTTCCTTCCCTTCCTTCCTTCCTTCCTTCCTTCCTTCCTTCCTTCCTTCTTTCCTTCCTTCCTTCTTTTTTCTTTGTTTTTGGTATTGGAGTTTGAACTCAGGTCTTGAGCTAGATAGGCAGTTGCTCTACCACTTAAGTCATGCCCCCAGTCCTTAACACATTTCTTTTTTTTTTTTGGGTCTGGTTGTGGGGCCTGAACTCTGGGCCTGGGTGCTGTCCCTGAGCTCTTGAACTCAAGGTTAGCGCTCTACCACTTGAGCCACAGCGCCACTTCTGCCTTTTTTTCTGCTTATGTGTTACTGAGGAATGGTTTACATAGTAAGCAGATCCAAAGGTACAAATGAATTGTTCTCACTCCCAAGCCATTGTTCCTCTCCCCAAAGTCAGTGGTAGGATTAGTTTCTTAGGTCCTTCCTGACACATTCAAACTTGGATTCCCTTTTTCATTTTTAAAGGAATCATATTACATGTACTATGTTGAACTTCCTTTTTTGGCTTAGCCCTCCCTGTGTGTCTTAGAAACTTGATTCAGATCAGGAAGTTTACATATTTTCATTTTTCCATTTATTGTGTTATTTAAATATTTTGGGGAGGATGGAGAGGCGATATGAAGAGTTGAACTTAAGGCTTTGTGCCTGCTAGGCAGACATTTTACCATTTGAGCTGTACCTCTAGTCCTTATAATTTTAATATAATTTTTTGAAGAGGAAATACAAATAATTCAAAATTTAGAAGATATCAGAAGCTTTGCCATGAAAATACTCCATTGTATCCATCTGTCCAGTTTTCTCTCCCATAGGCTATCAGTGATCTCCTCTTTCTTTTTCTTTTTTTCTTGGCCAGTCCTAGATCTTGAACTCAGGGCCTGGGCACTGTCCCTGAGCTGCCACTTTTGCCCAAGGCTAGCACTCTACCACTTGAGCAATAGAACCACTTCTAGCTTTTTCTGATTATGTGGTATTGAGGAATCGAACCCAGGGCTTCATCATGCTAGGCAAGCACTCTACCTCTAAGCTATATTCCCAGCCCTTGGTTTCTCTTTCTTCTGTGCCAGTACTGGGGCTTGAACTCAAGGACTTGGTGCTCTTGCCTGGCATTTCTGATTTATGTTTGACACTCTACCACTTGAACTATACCTCCATGTCAGGTTTTTGCTGGCTAATTGGAGATAAGAGTCTTTTGGATTGGGGCTGGGAAGTTGGCTCAGTGGTAGAGTGCTTGCCTCGCATGCATGAGCCCTGGGTTGGATTCCTCAGCACCATATAAACAGAAAAAGCCAGAAGTGGCGCTGTGACTCAAGTGGTTGAGCGCTAGCCTTGAGCTGAAGAGCTCAGGGACAGCACCCAGGCCCAGAATTCAAGCCCCATGACCAACCAAAAAAAAAAACAAAACAATCTTGTGGATTTTTTGTTTTGGTCAGGCTTGTTTCAAATCTCAGTCCTCAGAAGTCACCCCCCCCATCCCCCCGCAGAGTGGCTAGGATTATAGATGTGAGCCACCAGTGCCTGGCTTCAGTTTTTTTTATATATCCTTCTATAAATATCCAAGCAAGCATACATATATTTCCCCTTTTTCACATACAGAATTTTCTTTACATAGTCTGCTTCCTTTTTTCCACTTATGCATCTAAGGAGCTTATTCCTTAAAGGTACTTTTAAAGCTGCCTCATCTTTTAAATAGTTGGATCATTTTATAGAGTTAGCATAACTATAAAACAAGTTCCCTATTGATAGGGTAGATGTTTAGGTTGTTTGTTTTTGCTACTATAACCAGTACTGCAAAGAGTAGCGGTACATAGATGGATTTTGCAGAGATGTCTGGAATATGGTTGGCATAGAATTCCATTTCCTTCCTTTGTCTTCCCTCCTTCCCTTCATTTTTGTGCCAGTACTAGGGTTGAACTCAGGGCCAGGGGACCATTCCTTAGTTTTTTGGCTTAAGGCTGGTACTCTTAGCACTTGAGCCACAGCTTCACTCCTGGCTTTTTCCTGATTAATTGTCTTACAGACTCTCTGTCCAGACTGGCTTCAAAACAGAATTCTCAGATCTCAGCCTCCTCACTAGCTAAAATTACAGGCACCATTGTATCACTTTACCATAGTTTTTAAAAATCTGGTATCCTGTTAATAGACACCTGGCGGTCCATTCAGCCCCCTGATCTCCCCACTTTCTGCATTGACCGGTCTTCTCTCACTACCCTTAGGCACATGGCCACCCACTCGGCCCAGAAACCCCACCAGTGCATGTACTGTGATAAGATGTTTCACCGCAAGGACCATCTTCGGAACCACTTGCAGACCCACGACCCCAACAAAGAGGCCCTCCACTGCTCCGAGTGCGGTAAGAATTATAATACGAAGCTGGGCTACCGCCGCCACCTGGCCATGCATGCCGCCAGCAGCGGTGACCTCAGCTGCAAGGTCTGCCTGCAGACCTTCGAGAGTACCCAGTCCCTGCTAGAGCACCTGAAGGCTCACTCACGCCGGGTAGCAGGTGGTGCCAAGGAGAAGAAGCACCCCTGTGACCACTGTGACCGGCGATTCTATACCCGCAAGGATGTGCGGCGGCACCTAGTGGTGCACACAGGTCGGAAGGACTTCCTATGCCAGTACTGTGCCCAGAGATTCGGCCGCAAGGACCACCTGACACGTCATGTCAAGAAGAGCCACTCACAGGAGCTGCTCAAGATCAAGACAGAGCCAGTGGACATGCTAGGCCTCCTCAGCTGCAGCTCCACAGTCAGCGTGAAGGAAGAGCTGAGCCCTGTGCTGTGCATGGCCTCTCGGGACATGATGGGGGCCAAAGCCTTTCCTGGCATGTTGCCCATGGGCATGTATGGTGCCCACATCCCTGCCATGCCCAGCACAGGCATGCCACACTCCCTGGTGCACAATACACTCCCCATGGGTATGAGCTACCCTCTGGAATCCTCACCAATCTCTTCCCCAGCTCAGCTCCCTCCAAAATACCAGCTTGGATCTACCTCATACTTGCCCGACAAATTGCCCAAAGTGGAGGTGGATAGTTTCCTGGCGGATTTTCCTGGAAGCCTGTCTCTCTCATCCGCCGAACCCCAGCCCGCCTCACCTCAGCCGGCGGCAGCTGCGGCCCTCCTAGATGAAGCACTGCTCGCCAAGAGCCCCGCCAACCTCTCTGAGGCCCTGTGCGCTGCTAATGTGGACTTCTCCCATTTACTGGGCTTCCTTCCACTTAATCTGCCCCCGTGTAACCCACCGGGAGCTGCAGGAGGCCTCGTCATGGGCTACTCCCAGGCTGAGGCCCAGCCCCTGCTTACCACTTTGCAAGCTCAGCCTCAAGATTCCCCAGGAGCTGGGGGACCCCTGAACTTCGGGCCTCTGCACTCCTTGCCTCCTGTCTTCACTTCTGGCCTGAGTACTACCACCCTGCCTCGTTTCCATCAAGCATTCCAGTAGCCCCCACGGAGGCCCACTGCTCAGTCTTTGGCTCTGTCAGGGAGCCTTAAACCCACCCCGTCCACATCCCCATGAAGGCAGCTGAGCTTTCAGAGCTGGGTTCAAGAAGAAAAAATTCCAGTGTCTGTGTGGAGCACTTGGTTTGGGGGCTCAGGCTCCGGGATTGATTCCAGGAAGAACCTTGAGCCCCAGCCCCATGAAAAGATCTACCATGAACTTTCAGGTTTTTTTTTTTTTTTTAAGTCTGAATTGGGAACCCCACTTAGCCTTCTCCCTCTCCAAAGCTTCAGAGCTCCTCCTCCTGGGAGAAGGGGAGGCCTTTTGGAGAAACAGAGGGTTTCACCTTGGATGACTTCAAGAGAAATAGCCCAAGAAGCCCGCCCTCTGGTCCCATCCTGCAAACCGTAGCATGCAGTTGTCAGGCTCTGCTGTGGAAAGTCACTTGGTTCCACTGCCTGCTTCCGACCAGCAGACAGAAGAGAGGGTCTCCATTTTTCCTGCCTACCCCATCTACCTGTCCCACTAGCTCCATTTTCAGTCAGTGTTGTCCAGCAACGGTACCGTTTACACATTCGCCTCAGACACACCATTTCACCTCCCTTGCCACACTGTTAGCCTTAGCGTGATTGCAGTGAACTCTGTTTACACACCGTGAATCCATTCCCACCAGTCCATTTCAGTTGGCACCAGCCTGAACCACTGGGTACCTGGTGTTGACTGGAGCCCTGTTTACAAGGCGGAGTCGGGTCTTGCTGACTTCTCTTCACTTGAGGTCACATTTTTTCCCCTGTGGGGAATAAACTGACTTTGGACTGCTTCGGTCTCTGCCATCTTCCATGACTGCATCTCTCCCTGCCTCCCACGGCAGTGTCCACAGGAGATAGGCCAGAAGATTGGAGCAGATTTCTCACCCGTCTGCAATTCTGTTTTTTTCCAAGAAGTACATCATGACCCCCCTTCATCCTCCTTTTGAACTGGAGAGGGGGAGAATGAAAGGCAGGCCTGCATCTGTCACCTCCCTGATCCCTAACCCCACCCTGAACATCATGAGCTGTTATTTGTCTTGGAAGGAGGGCCTTTGGGTTCTAGGCTGCTGGGGCTAGCAAAAGAGAGACTATGCCCTGTGTCTCCCTCTTGCTTGTCCTTTTTCCAAGAAGTTGTGGAATTGTTGGAAGAAGAATTTTAAAGTCAGGACTGGGCATGTAGTCGAATCCTAATCTATGTAATCATTGTTGCCTCCCATACCAAAAATTCTCTCATTTGTGGGGTCCCTTCCGTCTCCTTCACTTTGAAGTCCATGGATTCAGGGCCACTGTGCATAGCCTTCTCTGGTCTCCAGGAACTTCCACCTTCTCATGGCTCCTCTCAGTTGCCCCTAGCAGCTAGCAAGGTTTCTTGCAGGAAATGATTAGTTCTTATGGGGCTCTCTGCCATAGACAGACAGCACAGCCTTTGCCTGGAACCCAACCGAACCCCAAACTCTGCTTCATCTCAGTTTTGCATGGACTCTTCCCATATGTGGAAGGGAGGCAGCTCAGGGACCACCACACTGGGGCCTCTTGAGACACCTCTCTAATTCAGAAACACACTTCTACCTCTTTACTGTTGACTCCTACAGTTGCAGCCAGCTGTGTGGGCGCTCTTGTCAGTGGTTCCTCCTGCTGGCTTCTCCATTAGGGTTTCCGGATGAACTACCTAGGAACTGCCTCAGCCTCCAGCAGTCCTCGGCAAGCCCCTACCTTTTGCCCTGATGCTCTTCGGTTTAGCATCAATAACTGCAGGTCCAAGACCCAGGCTTCTGCTTCAGCCCAGGCCAGTCCTCCTGTTGAAGTTCTAGCTCCCTGGCCCTTGTGTGGCAACAGTGTGGATTGAATAAGCATGCTTTGATTAGCTAGGGATAAGGTAGCTAGGGACACCTTTAAGAAAACAAAACCAGATATAAAAGTATCTGGTAAGGTTAGCATCTGACTAGGTGATTTGCTTCTAAAAATAGTTTCAGTGAGTCCCAGGGACTAATTAAGGTTTATTTTTAAAGCGTCTACCTTGGTACGCAGCCGCCACCTGCATGCTGTGCATGTTATAGGAATTGGTATGTGAGAACCCACGTGGGACTCGCTGCTGCCATTCTCCTTGTGTCTGGTCTTCACTAGACCCAGCACCCCTCTCCCCTTGCTGGCAACCTTCCTGTACCCTCAGCTTCTCCAGGCAAATGGGCCTATAGCCACAGAGTGTAATGTCCTGGGCTGTTCGAGGAGTCCTGTTCCATCTGCCTGTCCCTCCTTCAAACTCTTCCTTATGAGGCTGGGAAACTCAGAGGACAATTGTTAGATACCTTATAGGGCCTGGCACCCACCTCCTCTCTTTTTCTCCTTGTTCTCCCTCATTCCCATCTCTCATCCCTCTTGCTCCTTTCCTATTCTCTCAGTGCCCTCACCACAAGGAATCTTCCCGCCACTGTGAACTTTGATGGTACAGAGGAACATTGCCTGCTGTTACCTTTTTGGACCATAGCTACCCTGTTTTTGTAACCCACCCACCCCCCAGAAAGACTTTTTGGCCTGGCTCTTCATAAGAATAGCTTTATCCTGCTCTCAATACTCAACTTCAGTACCCCTTCTGATGCTATTATTACTAGAACAGCATCTGCCCAGGACAGGAGCTGTGGCATGTGGCACAAACCCATCAGGGACCAGGGTATAGGAGTGCGGTGCCCTTTTGTAGTCACTGCTTCAGACTGTGAGCTGACTTTTACAGGGGAAGGTCATCTCCCACCCTGCACAGTAGCTGGTGTGAGCTGAGGAGAGCCCTGAGGTCAGCTCAAAGGATACCTGCTCATCTTCATGAGGTGTGAGACAGGAAAAGGCCCACCAATGAGTTCCCCTAACCTTTTACGTGGCATTTTGTTAATGGAAATCCGGGAAGCAGGTGTGATTACCTTTTTGCTCGTAGATATTGTTCTAAGTTGAAATTCCCTCCCTGCCCTAAACTTAACCCTAGTGACCCTTTAAGTTCCCCCCTTTTTGGTAGCTGTTTTCGCCACCCCTTCCAGCTTTCCCTCTTATCTAGGAGCTGTTTTTAAGCACGATTTTTTTTTAACAGGTATTGTACAGGATCAATATTTTGCTTTTTAACAAGGATATTTATGTAATAAGAAACTTTGCCTTAGGCAGGTGTTGGCCAGAAAAGTCCAGATTCCTCTGGGATCCCACCCTGGCCTCTCCTGGAGCTCTGAACCTGCTGTGGAAGGAATTGGCCATGACCTTCACCACTGGAGAGCAGGGTCTGTGTCGAGGAAGGAGGTGTTCACTGTGATGATCTAGTGCCCATGGAGGAATGTGGAGGTGTTCCAACATCGCTGCAGTGTGGCTGGCATCCTTTGTGATCCTCCCACCAGTACCTCTCCTCCTCCACACACCAGCATGACAGCATCTCTTCCAGACCTTCCCTTCCTCCCAGTGGTCAAGGCTCCCAAGCCACTCTTTCGTAACGCCAGATTATTTAAAGAGAAAAATACAAGACAAAAACCTTCTAGCACTTTGTAAACAGTGAATAACCTCTTGGAGTATTTTTGGCTTTATATAAAACAAGGTTTTTAATTGTAAAATGTAAGTGCCATTAGAAAATGCACAGGGCATATCTTTGTTAAAGTAGATTTTTCAATGTTTTACAGAATTACATTTTCAAAAAAAGTTTTTATAATGAAGTTGTTTATTAAAAACTTCTGAATAATGTGTTTGGCAGTTGTGATTCTGATTGGCAGAGGGTTGGAGGGAACCTGGATTTGGAAAGAAGTGGAATTTTCCTGATGTCTTTAGCATCGAAGGTGATGGAGTATTGGACGGTCAGTCACAGGCAATCACATTAACAAAAATTTTGTACTTTGAAATGAAAGATTTTTATTGCCATATATTATATATTGTTATGAAAGATCTTAATTGGATGTCTTTGAGGTAAGTAGTAGTATTTTGATTAATCTTGGATTCAAGAGTCAGAAAACCCTGATTGAAAATTGGCTTTAAGGGGTGAGATTTCATGTTACTGAAAATGCCAGGTATGAAGTTCAATCTTCAGGTTTGATTCAGAGGCTCAATCATGGTTGGCCTCAGCATTTCATTGTTTCTTGTCCTATCTTATGAAGTCATGACTTCATCCTCAGGCCTTAAGTAGGGTCTCCCTTTGTGCAGGAGTGGAACAGAATCATGTAGTGCTGACCCAGGAGAAACTTTTCAGGCACAGCAAAAGACAGCTAGGACCTGGCCTCACCCACACCTGTGTTCAGCCACTGGGATCAGACATTGTTGAGAAGCCAGTGTGGCTTCATCTGGTATTGACTGGCCAGTCAAACAGGAGTGAAGGTCATTTGAGCCCCACACCTTTTGCTGAGGTCCTCTCATCAGGAGCACACTTTTCTGTGGTCTGGAACTGGTACATAGCCAAATACAAGTCACCTGAGTCCAGCCCAAGAGCCTCTGTGTCGGTGATAGTACAAAAATGGCCTGATCCTTTTCTCACTTTGGCCTGCTTTTGTGTTTGTGTGCATGTGCATGGTTACAGTGGCTTGAACTCAGGGCCTTAAGAGCAAGAGCCAACCCTCCAACATTTTACTACTTGAATCAGAGTCTCAAGGACTTTTTTTTGGGGGGGGAGTCCTGTCGTGGGGCCTGAACTCTGGGCCTGGGCACTGTCCCTCAGCTCTTCAGCTCAAGGCTAGCACTCTGCCACTTGAGCCACAGCGCCACTTCTGGCTTTTTTCGTTTTGCTTATGTGGTGCTGAGGAATTGAACCCAGGGCCTCAGGCATGCAAGGCAGGCGCTCTACCACTGGGCCACCTTCCTAGCCCCCTCAAGGACTTTTTTGCCTCCAGGTCTCAGGCTCCTGAACCTGATCTTACCCAACACAGCTAGAATTACAGGTGTGAGCCACTGGAGGTTCAGTTCCTTTTTATTTTTTGTGGTTGGTTGTGGGGCTTGAACTCAGAACCTGGGCACTGTCCCTTGAGCTTCTTTGTGCTCAAAGCTAGTGCCCTCTGCCACCACTAACAGTTTTTGAGTGATTAATTGGAGGTAAGAGTCTTGCAGGGACTTTTTTGCCTGGGCTGGCTTCAAACCTTGATCCTCAGATCTCAGCCTCCTGAGTAGCTAGGAATTCAGGCATGAGCCCGGCGCCCAGCTGGCACCCAGTTCCCTTTGTTGTCTGTGCTGTGTGTGCATGGTGGTGGTGGTTGTGAGGTCTTGGGGTTTAAAACCAGTGCCTCCTGCTTGCTGGGTGGACTTTTCATTGCTGAGCCACACCTCCAGCCTTCAGGCCTTGCCTTTTGCTTGGCTATCCTGGACCACCATCCACATTTCCTGATTAGTTGGGATGACAGTTGGGCACTATGGTGTCCAGGTGTTTTTTGTATTTGTTTTCATTTTGTTTTTGTGTTAATTGGTTGAGATGGAATCTTTTTTTTAATTGTGAAAATACTGTACAGAGGGGTTACAATTACATGGGCAAGATAATGAGTACATTTCTTATCAATCATTGTAGCCTCCTCCTTTGTTTCCCATTCCCATCCCTTCCCATTCTTCCCTTGCCCCCCCCCACCTTCCCCCTCCCCTGAAATGGAATCTTGAGAACATTTTGTCCCAGCTGGCCTCAAACCATGATTGTCTCCATCTCAGTCTCCCAAATAGGAGTACAAGTTTGAGCCACCATGCCCAGCTTGTCCTTGGCAAATAATCACTCTTTTCCCAATGAGTCAGAACTGTGGTTAGGACTTCCAAGAAAGACTACCTTGTCTCTAGTGCCTCAAAGTAGCTTATACCCCAGGGTGGGTCTTGGGGGCTCTGAGGGAGCTATGGCGTCTGTTAGGAAAGTGCAGGAGAAAGGAACAGGCCAGACTCGATCTCAGCACGCCAGGACTGTTTATTGAATAAGCAAGGACACAGACCTTTCCACGGGTATGGAGGTTTGTGTAAGGAGATGGGCTCAGGAATGGGGTTTTATGGAGTCTTAACAGGGAGACAGAGGTTAGTGAAAAGGCCACTAGGTCAAGGGAGGTGGAGGGCTCTCCAGTTGGGCCCAGGATGCAATATTTACAGCCAGACTTAGACTGCCCTGCAGGCATCAGGCAGTCTGCCTGGTGTCTGTATGCACCTGGGAAAACAGTGGGAGTCAATCCTTTCCTTCATAATACCATCTTTGGATACCTTAAAAAAAAAAATGGGCTAGGAGGGGAGAGGTCAGTCCTTCATATAGGGTCTTTGGATACATAAAAATAACAGGCTGAGAGGGGAGTGGCCAATCCTTCAGTATCTGCTGGGCAAGAAGCAGCTGAAGGCATCTGGAGGTGGTGTGGGGGTCCAGGCAGAGAAGGGGACCTGAGGTATTCCTGACCATAAGGCACAAGAATGGGAGCGGAGACTACAGGAGTGTGGATACATTTGCAGAATCATGCCTGACTCAGTCTACCCAAGCCTCAGATCCTGTATGTACGAGTCCATGCTTGGTAAAATGTCTGGCAAAGGGAAGCCCCTGGGTGGAGCACCCATGAAGCAAGACTTGCCAGGCTTCAGCCACCCAACCCAGGATCCAGCGTGTGAGGGAAGCAGGCACATGCCACCTGCTCCCTGGCTGGCAGCGATGTAAGACATTCCCTGGCCTCTGATCGGCAACCATCCGTGCCTTCCTTTCTCTACATGAATATTTCCAGCACCTTCATGTATGTGCCCCACGATGGTCTTCTCGCAGTCTGGATCTGGTCCACCTTAGCAAGGTGGTCTGCATAATTGTCCTGCGGAAGGAGGCTGCCACGGGGACGGTCACGCCGGGCGTGCGGGGGGTGGGGGGGGCGGCGGCGGCGGCCGGTTCTAACCGAGGCTGGGGGCTGGGCCCGTCCCCCTGGTGTCTGCTCCCAGCGCCCCTTGCTTGGTCCCCACGCGCGCGACTAATCCGGGACCCATTCTGCTAGGCGCTGGCGCTCACGTCCCGACTACCCGGCAGCCCCTCACCCTTGTGCTGCAACTCCCGGCCCCCACCCCGCGGTGGAGGGACCCCAGCAAGTCACATCCGGAAGGGGGGGTGAGGGGCGGAGCGCGCCGCGGAGGAGGGGGGTAGCAGGAGGGAGGAGGAGGAGGAGGGAGAAGGCCGCCTTCCCGCCGCTCTTTCTCCGAGTCGCGCCTACGCCCCTGTCGCCGAGCCCGCAGTGTCACCCGCGCGCCCCCGGCCCCTCCAGCCACAGGCTCTGCAGGTGATGGAGGACCAGGAGTCCGGGGTTCCTCCGGAAGCCGCCGCGCG